ATTCCTCATGAACAATTAAGGGGATTTTGAAGCTTGCATATTTTGGGTGGCCTTTTTGCTGGCTAATGCAGGTATTACATTTGTGTGGACTTCAGAATTTTTATTGCCAGTGATTACTTTTTTAAAAAATGCACATATCTTACACACATTGCTGGCCCCATGTTTTTGAGGATCCCCAGATAAGACCCCCACAATAGGCCCTCTCCCTCTGTGAGTCTTCCTTCTTACCAGCATTTTCACCAGCTGTTATGGCCCCTCATCCTCTCTTTCATAGAGCGAGTCAGAAGGGGCCTCCTGGGCCTCTTGCATCATTGCTTTCACTTGCCCATCTGACATGCAACGAGCCAGCAAGCAAGCAGGTAGTGGCATCTATTCCTCTTCACCACCACCATTGCCTTGGTCAGTGCAAGAGGCAGGTGAATAAGGAAGATGTAAAGCTGACGAGGAGGAACATATCCAAGGGACATTTTCCAGTGGGCCCCTGTGGGCTTTTAGGCCCTGGTCGATGCCCATCCGTTCCTGCCTTTGATGTACACTTATCTTTCTTTGTCCCACAGTTCATGATTGCGTTGGTGTAATGTGTAGCTGGCCCTGCTGTTAGTTCACTCCCTGCAATTCATTTGGTCTTTGTCACTTCCCATCCTTCCTCAGCTAAAGGAGGATCACCAGAAGGCCCTCCTAAGGCGAGAATTTGAGCTGCAGAGTTTGAATCTTCAGAGAAGGCTGGAGCAGAAGTTCTGGAGCCAGGAGAAGAACCTTTTGGTGCAGGAATCCCAACAATTCAAGCAGAACTTCTTGCTCCTTTTCATGAAGCTCAAGTGGTTTCTGAAGCACTGGAGGCAGGGGAAATTCCTACAGAATGAAAGCAATGATTTCTTGGAGGTATGGCAAATGTTACGCATGAGCTTCATTGGTAAACTGTTCAGGTATCCAACCGACATTAATTAAAGCAGAGAACTAGGGCCTGTGCCCTTGGGGAGGCATCTGTGGTTCTGTTAAGAGGTTTGACTGAGTTAAAACAGGAATAGGTGATACTGTGACTTCTTTCTTTGGGCTCTATCAAAGCATGCCAAAAATGGGGCCTGAATCAACCCAGACTTACCTGATTCCTCTCTCTAGTATGTGCACTCCTTGGAGGCAAGATCTGTTATCCATGCTTCAGAATGTAGATTACTTTTCTTAAAGTATAAAATGTTAGCAACTGAGGTGCACAGCAATTTCACGCACAGGGCTTAAATCAGCTTTGTTTTTTTTTATTCTTGCTGTAAATGCTAGGTTCCTCATGCATATGTGTAGTTTACATTCTGTTTTTCCTCCAGTGAATTATCCTACCACATGAAGAACATTCACATGGGGGGGATGGGCTAAGGGAGGCCTAATGCACTTTTGAGTGTTTATAGTGCTGTAAGATAAATAATTTGCAATGTATATGCAGAGAAAGCTCCATAATCTGTAAGCTGCCAAGTGCCCTAGAGTGGTACCCCCACCAGTTTCCTTAGCCTGTGAACCCCAGTTTAGCATGCATCAAACATGTCTTTTATTGCTAATTAGAAATTGATCAATTTGTTTACTTGGCAGATATATTCCTGTCAAACATCCATGCCTTCAAATGTGAGTAGAAGGGAGCCTTAGTCACACAGATGAATTAAATAGCTGCCTACCACCACCAGAGCAACAAATTATTCTCTCATTAAAATAGAATGCATGGTCTGTGGATAGTTGAGCACTTTCAGGCTCGGGAACAACGGCCTCTTTATAAGCCAGTCTGGTTCAGAATCCAAATGATGATTTTGTCTAGGCACAAATGTACTGAAAGGTGCCTGGAACAGAGATGCCAAAAAGAGGAAGATGATGAAAGGCGCTGCAAGGATGTGACACAGAAGCAACTCTGTGAAAGAGCACAGTCCAGAGGGGCATTTTGTGTTACAGGATCTACTGTGACATCCACTGTGGCTATTGATTACCTCTGTCTGAAGGATCCAGTAGGCCAGAGGTGAACAAGGACTGCATTTTCTCAAGGATAATCTGTTGGGAGCCTCATGTTGGCAGAAGATGGACTGAAGCCAGCAGTAGGCAACGCCAGAGCTAAAAAGAGTGGGCCACCCCTTTTTATCTTCTTGCCACCCTTTCCCCTTCTTTCCCTCTTCCTTCCTGCCCAGTAAATTGCCAGGGAGGAGATAGATTGCGCTTGCCAGAAGTCTGAAATGGTTGCATAGAATGGGTTTTTGAAATTAGGCTGAAGATTGCATGAGATTAGCTTGAAGTTTGCAGGTTGCATAACGAAGCAGTATGTGAAGCATCATGTGATCGCAGCAACTGCAGGTCTCCACTCAGTCTTCACCCTGTACTGTGCCTTCCAGGTGAACAGCATGAAAGAACTGTACCTGCTGATTGAAGAGGAGGAGCTGAATCCCCAGCAGCAAGCTGATAACAAGTCATGTGCCAGAGATGCCTGGTCTCAGAACACGGTGAGATGTGATACTGGCAGGAAGACAATGGAAAGAGACTTGCATTTATGGAATTTATTTCCTTGGAGGTTCCCACCAGTGTTTCCCTAAAATATTCTCAGGTTCCGAATGTATGAACATAGATTTCACCTCGGAGGAGGAGTGGGAAGTGTCTGAACCAGGTGTGGGTGATAGGAAGCCAGATGATTCAGCTTTGCCTGGCATCCCAGTGTTTGGTGAACAGGGGAGAGGCATTGGAGACTGTAATCCTCCTCAAGTGGAAGATACAACCTTGACAGAGGCACCTGCTGGTCATCAAGGGACATTGTCCCTGGCAATGGGGGCAATAGAAGGAGGGCTTCTCAGGGGAAGGTATTTCAAGGATGTCTCCATGAGTCCACCATCAGCAAAAGAGAGCAGAACAGAAATGCTCAATCAGGTCTAGCCCAGGTTGAGAGGTTGGTTTCAGTGCTAGGACCAAGGATCATATATCAACCTGTAGAGGCAACTCCCGTGTATATAAACCTGGGGGGTTCCTCAGAATCTTTGCAGTGGGCAACTGATTGCCACCTGGTGGTGCTTCCAGCCACCTGTGGAAACATGAACATTTGGTCAGAATTTGAGTGGATACTGTGTAGGAGGTATTAAGTGCTGGACTTGAGGAATGTATGCTCTGAAAGGCACTGGAGGGTTCCTTAGTGCTGGAACTTGCATCTGGAGGTTGGTTCTGACATTCTTATTACTGGAGATCAGGACAGAAGAGCCCCAGCCTTTTTGCTGTGGAGGGACCATAGTTGTGGTTGTTGTTCCATTGCATTTCTATCCTGCCTCCTTTCCACTTGTAAGGAACGAAAGCAGCGTACATAGCTCCATTGTATCTTGACAACAGCCCTGTGAAATAGGTTAGGCTGAAAGTGAATGACTGGCTCAAAGTCACTCAGTTAGCTTCATGGCCAGTTGGTGACCAGAACTTGAATCTTCTGGGTCCCCTGTCCAACACTTTCACCACCACATTGGTTCTCAAAGATTTGGTTGTTTCTGCCTGGCTTAATACACACTTCAACTCTTTGCAAGTTGAAGATCACAGGTTCAGTCCCTGTCAGCCTCGAGTTGAAAGTAGAGGAAAACTGCTGCATGAAACCTGGGAGAGGTGCTGTCAGTCAAAGTAAACAGATGACACTGGGATAGGGAGATGAATTGCCTGACCTGGTGTCAGGCAGCTTCCCATGCCTGAATAATCTTTTCAGTTTCCACAGAGCACCAGGGAAGGCAAGGGCTCTACACCACCATTCCTTCCAGGGATCCTAGGTTGAAGGGACACAGTCGTTGTCCTACCCTGTATTGTGCATGCCACAGTGGTGGGAAGAAAGACAGCAGTAATTGATTTGCTTCCCCCAGGGGTCCTGGGAAGATAGACAGTGCCGCAGCCCTTTCTCTTTTCAAATAGCTTTGCAGAGCAAAAGAATTCCCCCCCCCCCCATTCTTCTGCAAAAGCATGTAATAATTGGCAGGTGTTGATATGGCCCATAGTCTGCAAGACATTCTATGCACCAGCCCAGTTTTTCTCATCCTGGTGCTCTCTAGATGTATTGACTGCCATCATTCCCAGCCAGCAACCATCCTGGAAAACACAAGGTTGAGGAAGACTGCATGAGCTTGTCTGCTTATTTTCTTCCATGGGCAGAATTGCAATCATTTGCACTCAGAGTTCTGAACCTGACATCCATGCTTCTCCTCTTGTCATCCATGCATTTTCTATAGCTGGTTGCAAATGAAAACATCCCAGAGTTGTAGTGGAGGCTGCTGACGTACAAACAGTACACATATTTTTCCATGTAAACAGTTCATTGAAGGAAGATCAATTGGTCTGAAAATGTGTTATAAATCTTCTAAAAGTAGGTAGTAGATAAAGCAAGTAAAAAAAATAGAAAAATACATATAATCTTATTGTATTCCAGATTATAACCTAGATTTGGATTTGCAAAATGTGCATTTTCTTAGCTGTGATGGGATCAGGAGAAGGGCAAAGATAGATTTTTTTGGGAGTTACTCCATATGGCTATACCTGGGATTTCAGGGGTGAACTCTGCACTTAGCAATTTTGCCTTGATTGGACTTGCTACAGCCCACAAAATGTTAAATGTTATTTAGAATTCCTGGCCAGAAAAGATGCTCTTCACCTATATTTTCAGGCTGTTAATTCAGCATCTGTTCTGTGGCACTCAGGTCATCTTCACTTGTGCATGCCAGGAAAACTCCAGAGACATAATTTCTGAGGCTGAATAGGGTGAGAACAACTATTTCTACAGTCCCTGAACTGGTTATCAGACTAAACTAATAGCCTAACAAACTAAAGCTTTTGGAAATGAAGTATAGTTCAAATCATATTTTTAAAAATTAGTTACCAAGCTAGTTTACCTTGTTTCATACCTCTGCTTCCTCTCTCCATTTCCCTTCTCATTACAACCTTGTGGGATTGGTTAGCCTGAGAGATGGTGGCTGGTTCAGTGTAACCCAGTAAACCTTAAGGCTGAGTAGGCATTTGAACATAGGGTACCCTGATCCTAGAGTAACATGAACCATTACATATACTTCTCCCTGCAATTAGTCCACTCTTTACTTTGCTGCTTCAGTTTCTTTTCTGAATCTAATAAGGATCTCAAAAGGTGGTGAAGACAATATCTGTATTGTCTAGAATAAGGCAGAGCCTGGTATGTTCATGTTAGTCATATTTCTGTTCATATTTTTTGCAGCCCAATGAGTATGTCAAGACCCTATCAGACATGAAGGTGATCTTGAAGGAGCTGTGCACAGAGCTCCGTGAAGAGAGGAGAGGCATGAATGAGCTGCAGCAACAGTTTGCCAAGGCCAAGGCTACATGGGAGGTGGAGAGGACTGAGCTCAAGTGTCTCATTGCTCAGGTTAGACACTAAAGAATTGCTTTTTACCATCTCCAATCACTGTATAAATTTGATCTTGCCTTAAAACAAGAAGCAGGTCATGTTCAGATATAATAACCAAATCACATGCATTGTCCACTTTCTGACACATACTTTTAAACATGGCCTCCAATTTTGCTTTGGAACTCAAATGCAAACCATAATTTGCCAGTTTGGGTATAAGAACAAACTGTGGCTTGTCTGATGAACAAACCAGGAAGGCAGTTGGGATTCAGAAGGGGAGGAAGGAGTCCCTCAGCCTGAGGACAGCATGGTTTGCCATTACATGTGAGGCAGCCTGTTTCATGAGGTCTTCTGTTGAGCTGTTCAATAACTTCCCAAGTTTTAGGGGCCTTCTGGGATATAGTACATGTTATCTTTTCATGGAATAGAATACCAAATCCAACTTGAGGGCGTGTTTATGACTTGATAAATTAAACAGGCATAAAACTTTCACCCATAAATTGGAATTGGCCTTGATTTACAGATATTTTTTCTGTAAAAAAATGCATCAGTCAGAAAATACATCAGTTACTTAGGAGGTCAGCTTTGAGCCATTTTCATACTCTGGTGTGTACCTAATGACATTGTTGGGAGACCAACTGGCTTCAAATCCACTCTTTTCCTTCTGTCTCGTACAAAGCATTTGTGATTTGTTGTCATTGCCCAGTACATCATCCCCTTCACCTTAATTAGTCTGCCCTGCTTGGTAGAAGTTGGAAATCTACAGTGCAATTATTATTGCCCTATTAGGGGATTATCCTGCGCTTGATTTGTGGGTTCTGAATTGTGAGGAAGATCTTAAGTCTCTGGAACAGGCACTTCTTTTCATTGATTTCCCAAAAGTAGGGAGAAGAGTTGTGGCATGGACATGACAGCAGGGTAAGAGCAGGGGCACAGCTTCCTTTTTGTGATTATATGGAGGAAAATGTCCACATATGATGTCATATGTTGCTTGTATTGCAAGGTAAAAGGCTGAGAGACTATGGAGCAACAGCCTCGCTGTTTCTCTTGCAATCTGTAATGTAGCCCTTGTGCCTAGGCCATAGAGATGGTGCACATAAATAAATAAGATTCTCCGGAAAAGGTTAAGGTTCTTCTTTTTAATGTTAATATTTCTTTATTTCCACCACATACCACATGCTCAGCAAGAGAAGCCTCTTGCCAACCAGCATCGGATTGGGTTTAATGTAATTCGTCACTCAACCTTGGAGTGTGGTTTTGTGAAAAATGCAATAAAACACCAGTCTCTTCCCTGCAGCTGTGTGGGAGCCCACTCTTGAAATGGCCAAGTGACAGCATCGCTACTAACAAAGAGCTCCTTTTGGAGGAGGCTGCAAGGCAAAGGCTTTCCTTTCATGTATTCTAATTCTCTTTCTTAATAGATGCTTTGTACACATCTGGGGAAGCCCCCAAATGTGTACAAAGAAGTGGGTGCAAGCTTGCATGTTACATAATGTTGATTAGAAAGACATGCTCTGGATATGAATCAGTGCATGAGGAATGATTCCTTTGTAGATTATAGCATTTGTAGGCTGCTTCTGTACCTGTAAGGATATCTGTGTGTTCATGTGCAGCACTGCAACTTGAAGGCATCCCTTGTTAATTCAGTAGTCTTGTTTCAAATGGGATACTGTGGCAACATCTGGGAGTGCCATGTTCCTAAGGTGGTTTGGTGATTATTTCTGACTGTTTTGTAAACGTTCATGAAAAAACAGTGCTCGTAGGCTCTTAGAACTGCTTTCCATACCCCTCCTAACTATTGGGGTCCAGCCAGCTGTCATTATGAATAAGTGAGCGAGACAGGGTAACTCCTTTTTTATGCTTGCCCTTCCCTGATTGTTGTTAAACTTGCATGCTTTCATCATTCTTGCACTTTTCTGTCCATTGGCTGGATAACTTTTCCTTTTCAAACAGTAAAGAGGTGTTTTAATTCTGTGGTTGTATGATAGCATCCAAGAACATATGTTGTCTTAATAAACATATGTGTTGGGCTTGAAGAAGGGGAAGTGAGAAGACTGTGTCTGCATCCTGACTGGTTTGTGACTAAAATGAACAGTAACATCATTACCCACTTGAGGTGCTGAATCATCCTTTTATTTTTCTTGCCCAAAAATAGTTCACAAAGATACAAATCCACATCCTGCTGTGCAAATTGCACTTTTGGTTTTGCACCCAAATCTACACAATGCTGCAGGCAAGGACTTGCTAATAACTTCATAACAGCAATGTCATTTGTTATTAACCACCTAGGGAACTTTGGGCTGATGTGTGGAGTAGAAATACAATAAATAAATATTTGGGTGTTTCCTGCACACTGTATTATTCCAGCATCTTTGTAGCACAATGCAAGAGTGATTCCAAGGTTTCTTGCTGCAAGAAGTTTAAAAAAACATTTAATTTAAAAACAAAAACACTCCTGTGGTTGGGCTCCCCATCTATCTAGATCTTAGGAAAAAAGGAGCGTGTGAGTTGTGTCTTGAAACAGCGTGCAGGATTTCTCAGGACGCTGGACCAAGGAGTTCTGCTCATGCTGCTGCTGTTGATCTCTGTACTGCACAACAACTCAAGCTCTCTGAGCAGTTTACAACAATAGATCAGCTGAACCAACTCTGGATAAACTTTTGTAAAGATAAAAATAACCAGAGTGTGGTGATAGTTACCCAGCAGGCTTTGAGACACACGGAAGGCTATCTAATACTGAGTCAGAGGCCATGGGTCCATCTAGCCCAGCATCATCTGTACTGGGACAGGCAGGAGTTGTTCAGGGTTTCAGTTTCAGGGTTTCCTAGCCCTATTTGGAAAAGCTGGGGATTAACCAAAGACCCTCTTAATGCAAGGTATGTACACAACCATTTTGCCATACCCTCTCCAAGCTCAAGTTTGAGATCCCCTTTCCTTTAAACAACCCTCCAGCTTTACTTTGGAGCCCTACTTATAAGAATAAGTCTCTGGAGTAAAGTAGCCAAGGGTAGTTAGAGACTGTGGAGTGAAGGATAAAGTGTAAATGGAGAGAGTGTTCTGTTTAGGCAGAATGTGGATTGAGCAAGTGGATTGTTGAGGTTAACACAAAAAGGTGCGGGATAGAAGGACCCCAATAGAGGCATATGGCCTTTCCCTTCCTTCAGCAAATAACATAGTGATGTTATTTGATTGTATTGCTCTGTGACTCACCTTATATAATGGCAGAAGGATGGTGCATTTTCTGTGCCAGCTTCAACACCTGAAAAAGCCATCCAATTACAAAGCACATGTACTGTGTAACAGGAAGTACTCTTCCCTTTTGCTTTCTTAGAAGATGCTCAGGAAACAATTTGGTTGCTGGTAAAAAACAGCTTCAGATCCTTTATTCACTATACATGTCAGTGCCTCTGTAGGGGACTACAGAATATGGAATAAATGTTTTAAGGTACAATCCTATGCTTGTTTAGGCAGATAACAATCCTTCTATTCCTAGTTCTTCTATTCCCAGCATCCCCTAACCAGAAGGAATGTTGGACACTGTAGGACCATTTTTGGTCTAAACATGATGGGATTGCATCTTTAGCCACTGATATGCATGGAGAGCCTGCACACAGATAGCCAAAACACTCTTTTGTCATGGACACACACACACACCTGCCTCCCTCTACATCTATCATCTCTATATATCTGGCTTTCAATTTTAAAACTAGGCAGCTAGCACTAATAGGTAAAAGGAAATTTTAACATGCACAAAATAACCATTTAACAAAAGGCAAAAGTAAAAGCATAATGACAGCATGATCATGATGATGATACCATATCCATAAAACATACTAAAAACAAGTGTAACAGCACTGTATAAAATGATCTAATTTAAAGAAAAGTAACAATGTCGTCTAGTACCAAAAGATTAAAATTATTAAATGTCTTAACCAAGGGTACCCACCCTACACACAAACACATTGCTATCCACCTTGCCTCAGGGGATGAATGGCACTTGGAAGATCTGAAGACACTTACGATAGTCTTGTGATGGGCGTTCTCAAAAATACTGATAGTTCAGAGTGAGGTGGAGCTTATTTTGCTTCTTGTCTTCAGTACTCCAGTGCAACCATTCCCACTTTTAGTTCCCTTTCAGAGCACACTTGCAGGTTTCATCAAGGTGATGCCTCAGCCCAATAATGATTACACCTCTTACTAGTTGTGCAAAGGCTATTCCATTGTCTCAGTAAAATCAAATAGTATCTGCTCTGTGGGCTTTCTGAAAGAGAAGTGCATTCTCATGGCCCACTTTGCATTCCCTTATCAATTGCTCTTGCCTATAAATTGTAGCCAGGCAAGTGTTCAAGACTGTATGAAGTATGTGGGTACAGCTCTTGAATTGTTGGTATTTTGTCTGGATTACTGGCATCATCAGAATCTTAATGGCAGCAATTGAAGCTGGCTACATTAATGCATTTTATTGATTGCTCCCCCTCCCCCCACACCTATTTGACTCAGCTGTAAGGAAGATTTGAGCATTATGTGTATCACGCCCAGGTAGCTAGGGAAATACATTGGTCAGGAGGCAATTAATAGACGCTTTGTCCTTGCTCAGGGTTGTGGGAATCAGTATTGATTTGTTCAAAAGAAACTGTCAGGGTCCATAACTGGGCAGCCAGAGACAAGAGCAACAGAGGCACCAAGACCAGGTCAACAGAACTTCAGGAAAGTCAAATTCCAAAAGCAGAGTTGAATGGAAAGTCCAAATCCTAGTCATAGTCATATACTGTAAGCCATCCAGAGATGACAGTGATGGATGGCCTGTAACTCTCCTAAATAAATAAATACAGGCCAAGGTTAGGAACCAGAAGCATGCATGAGGGCAGAACAAGGATGTGGTCAGAAACAATCCAAGGATCAAGAACCAGGAAGACAAAAGGTGCAGGTATCTTGGACAGGATAACAGGGTGGGATACATGGCAAGACGCAGGAGACAACAGGAACCAGATGAAGCAAGGATCGGGCAAGGTACTGGA